TGGAGCCCAGTGGTCTGATGGAAGCGTGAAATTCGTCATCGGTCGGTGATGATCGGTGGTACTCTGCAGTGGGGGTTGAGTGGTGTGGTTTCACGACCCTTGAGACTCAACCAGGACAGCGGAGGCTCGACGCGGTAATAGCGGCGAGGCGTGCGGTATGCACGGGACATGGAGACGGGCCAGGGCTCTGGTGGTCATACATGTGGTGAGACAACTGCGAATTTGACTCGGGATGACTACAAGCAACGGTGAAATTCCTTCAAGTTTCAGGCATGTGGTCAAGAAAGGAGCGATGATGTTGAGTTCAGGTAACTTTTATGTGCGACACCCAATATGTGAGTTGTTCACTTTCACGCAGGTCAGTGATCGGTGTGTGATGGCGTTGGACTGATACTTTGAAAGTTGGGAGCACAAACTAGAATAACAAGGAACTTAATTTTGCTTGAGTGTTGACTGTGGTCAAGAAAAGAAGGGACTACAAGTCGCAGGTGGAGTCACATGGAGTCTTTGGAGTAGCAGCGGTGCTCACAGGATAAGCTCAAGTCCAATGTACATGAAAGTTTGACACATGGACGAATTCAAGGTGGTGGAGAATATTCGCCAAGGTGGAGTTTGTTAGAGTTGTGTCGGATATTGTGTACAAGATAGGTTACAGTTGGACTCTGAGTAGTATTGTGTTTAGATAGGATATGGAGTCGTGTTCTAATAGGACACTTGTATCCTAGGCCTCTCTTATATAGCGGGGGTAGACACACGATGTAACCTATGCCAACATAATAGCACAGGCGCGCAAGGGGGAGCCGGCGGCCTCGGATTTATTCTAACACATGCACTCTGCGAAATATAGAACACGGCAATAAGGCCATTCAGGGGTCGTGGAAAGCTCTTCCTTTAAGAGCGCGTTCATTCTGACGGTGAGGGTTTGCCGATCTTTTTGTGGCCGAAACTCGGCAAACATTGTTAACATATGCACTGAGTTCTCGGTACTGCCCGAGAACCGGCGTCTGTTTAGAAGGTCGGCTGTTTGTTGACTATACGGCAAGGTCGCCGATGTATAAAAGGTGTTGGGATTCAATGCAAAGGAGCGAGGTGGGACTATCATTTCGGTAGCAACCTTGATTTACCCCACAAGCAGACCAGCTAAAGTTGGTTGTGTTCTTCAGGACGGGCCTGGTCGTGTGATCGAAACTCATGGCTAGTATTTTTTTCATCGTTTTTCCTTAAAAGAAATAAGTGTGACACAAACTCGTGGAAATTATTATTTTTCATCGTTTTTCCTTAAAAGAAAAAAGTGTGACACAGGCCTAGTACAGCCCATGCGGGTGACACGGGACGGACAGGAAAAGCGTTTATATGAAAAGTATAGAATTTAATTTGGGAAAAGAAAAAAAATTAGGTGTCACTGAAAAAAAGGTTAGAATTCAGCATTGTTCGTAATTATATATGAAAAGTATAGACAAAGCTGGGCCATTTTTGCATCTCCTGCCATTCTTTGGTTGGGATTCTGAGTTCCAAGACATGAATCTTGTTCATAAGGCTGGTTCCACATGTTTAACTATTCATAAGGTTGGTTGGGAAATTAAGATGTACTAATACTTGCTGCTGGTTCTGTTTTTGGTACTGCGTCTGTTCATCTTGTCGAAAACCATGATGCAAAGTGGGTTTCAGTTTGAAACCATGTTCAGGCTGACAGTTAACTGAAACCATGTTCAGGCTGACAGTTTTTGGCATTCCTGGTACTTTGGCTTGCCGGCCCGAAAAGGCAGATGGATGGAGCTTTTGGCGCTACTGGATATGGTCGCGACGGGGTTGCTACTGTTATGTATTCACCACAAGTGTTCATTGATGAATTCAGTCAGACTTGAGAAGATGTTGCTTCCTTGCCGAAGAAGAGAAGAGATGGAGATGGAGATGGGGCGATGTAGCTGTTAGGTCGTTCATCAAATTGGTTAGATAGATTCTTATCTTTCGGAATTGTGGTCATCATTGAACAGCCAGCTTGCCCTCTGCAAGTGTTTGATTTTTGTTGCTGGTTGATTTGGAATCTTTATACAGTGAATTTGTGAATTCATTCCCAACATTTCTTTCCACATGTTATGCTGCCAAAATTTCTCGCAAAATTTCTTCCGACTTGTCTAAGTTTTTTCCTTCTTTGTATCAAAATCAAAACCTTACGGTGCTCACTGTGAAATGCTTGTGAAACGCTGAGTCTTCACCGCAAACTGTTAGAAGTCCTCTATTATATGTTTATTCTTGCATACTATTTAAAATTGCAAATTTATTGTTAATCGTCAACAAATTTTATCATTATTATTTTTTATTTCTTTGTTCTTAAAGGTAACACCAGTGTGACTAATTAATTCCCGTGAATTGGTTTTTGCTAAAATACCACTATATTATGTGCTTCATCTTGCATATTACAAAAAGACGCATTTTTATTTGTAAATTGTGTGCAGATTATGTCATTATTTGTTTTATTGGTTTTATTTTTTCCTAGTTTAATGGTAACACCAATGCTACAATTCATTCTTTTCTAAATTGTGTGCAAATTGCTTAATGGTAATACCAATGCTACAATTCATTTTTCCTATTTTAACGGTAATACCAATGCTACAACATTCTTTTAATGTTAAACCTTTATTTTTTTATTTACTTGTAAATTGTGTGCAAATTATGTCATTTTTTTCATAGTCCGATGTCATATATTTAGTTATGTAGGATGTTGCATGAGCTAATACGGATTTGAGTATTCAGTTTAGATGCATCCGGTTGTGGAGGAGCAATTTTGTGTGCCATCCTGTCACTGGCATTTGAGGACCGAAATTTGGTAATTGCGGTAGTAGATGCTCTTCATCCTCATGCATGCTCAACTGATTCAGACCATGCGACTTTTTGCACATCGATTGGATTGACTTACATATTTGTCGTGTCACAGAGCAACCTTATCAGCAAGCCACCATACAGCCACAATGATATTCAGCTAGATAACGGATTAAGGTGCTACTGGATATTTGGAGGATGTACTTATTGCCATTTTATAGTACATGGTTTTGTGTTCAGGATGCCCTCTTTTGGAGCCGGCTAAGTGTGGTGGACCGCTTGTTATTATTTCCTTCTTCTGAAAAAGGGATAACCCCGTCCTCTTCATAAAACGATGCACATAGCATGATTGGCCAAATCGGCTCCGACGATGACTTGGACGTCATCGACGGCTCCAGCTCCGACGATGACGCCTCTCCGTCCGCCGATGCCTACACGAAGGGGTACAACTGCACCGGCGGCCGCAAGGGGAAGGCATACTCCATTTTATCTATGGTTTTCGTATTAATTTTTGCACCATCCGACGATGAACTTTGATCCTTTTGTCCGACGATGAACTATGATCCTTTTGTATTAGCTAGATTTAGTCTGTTTGCTGCTATTAAGCGCGTTCATCGTGTTCTTCTACATAAGGAGCGTAGGGTGGTTCTGGAAGCCTCGCGGAGACCAGGGAAAGGGGATGAGAGGCATCGGCGCTGCTGATTTGGAGCAGCGCATCGGCTCCTCTATGGGTCGCAACAAGGAGATGAGTTGGACAGTGGGGTCCGATCGTCAGCGAGTGAAGGGGAGTAAAAAAATGAAGAAAAGGAGGCGGTTGGACTGACAATGTTTCTCAGCTCGGCTTTACTGGGCATGCTATTGGACATCTGGTTGTGCTATCATGCGAGAGATAGAGATAGAAGTTAGTGGGCTTACCCCGGTTTTAGGTTATTTAGTTTATTAATTTCACTAATTAATTTTATTTAGTGCAAGAAAACTCCAAATAAGCAATACATAAATTGTTCACTATTATGTACTGATTATTTAGAGATTACTAAAACAAGTTTCGGGACCATTTGAATAAGTATTTGATGCACCATATTTAATAATGGTATATGGGCTTTATAATTCCCCCAAAATTAATTTTTAGGGTTTTATAATATCGTAAATTGATAACTCAGAAATATTAAATCCAATTATATTTTGGGGAAGGCATACTATCCCCCATCATTAATAATATTTTCTATATTACAAATATTTAAATGTACTTTTAAAATATCCAAATAAATTCTAAATTCAAATAGATCCTTTATGAAATATTTATCGACCATATTTGATAAACTCATTTTATTCTAAGTCCATAATTTGAATGTGGTTTGCAAATATTTAAAAAGGATCACAAATAAATGATTGACTTGTGAATTTTTAATAAACCCTTCACCAAGATTGTTCTTGTTGGATAAAATATTATCCAACTTTTACAACATGGTTTGAGAAGGTTTTAACAAAACTCAAAAAGTTTTAGTTTTCCCTGAAAGTCATAGCAATTCACTCGGTAATATCTTATTACTCACATTAACATTCCAATATTTGGAATTTTGGGATGTTAGAAAGGCATCACACACATTATCGTTTTAAAATTGTGCATGATGATAGGCTACATTGGACACACTTCTTTCACAATAACTATGAGCAAAGCAACACACACGATTCTGTCCTGTGCAATGATAGGGTACATCGCACGCACAATTTTTGCAAAAGTTGTTTACTCGAATTGTACATGGTTGCATTTCTGAACTGTGTCTGATACTACGACATCACACACCCTTTTCTTCTTGAACATTGTATGATACTACATCACACACAGTTGTTTTCTGGCGTGTATAATACTCCCTCCGTTCCTAAATATTTGTCTTTCCAGAGATTTTAACAAGTGACTACATACGGAGCAAAATGAGTGAATCTACACTCTAAAATATGTCTACATACATCCGTATGTGGTAGTCCATTTGAAATGTCTAGAAAGACAAATATTTAGGAACGGAGGGAGTAGATGTGTTTTCTTAGCACCATTCTATATTAGTGATGACATAAGAAGAACAGGATGAAATCGGTAAAAAAAAGAGAATACACAAACATCTGACTAAACAACGCAGCAAAGCGCACACCCCTTCCAATATTAAACAATCATCCACTTCAACTCAAAATGCACGACACAATCCCATGTGTCGATTCAGAATGAAACTCAATACTCTACATAGGAGCGTTTTTAGAAGGGTAATAAGGATTCCCAGAATGATCACGGCACTACAAGCGTATCCTAGGAAAGTGAAGTATTCTCTCTTGAAGGTTAAAATCAATAAAGATAGCATTAATCCCCGTGCATCTAAAAATGCGTTAAGTGCCAGGCCTCCTCCAAAAGATAGACCTGCTAGGACTACTAGTTTAGCTATTTGGTGGACCCACCGGGGTAGCGAATGCCAATGTGAAGGATGTCCTTGTTGGGTTTGCGGATCCATAGGGGAGGACATGCCAATGGTGAGATGTACCTCGTCTTGCTTGGAGCAACGCTTTAATGGCAAGTGGGATATTCTGCTTCGGCAGTCTAGTATATCATGAAAGAAGGAAGCATGTGGTTAACAAACACCAAATTCATATAGGTATTAGAAGGAAAGACTAGTTAGAAGACCATGTATTCCAAATTCATATTATATACTCCATCCGTCCCAAATTCTTGTCTTAGATTTGTCTACATACGGATGTATCTATTCACATTTTAGTGTTAGATACATCTGTATCTTGATAAATCTAAGACAAGAATTTTGGGACGGAGGGAGTAATTTCTTGCATCAATGTTAAGCCACATCATTACCCCACAAACTATTCCACCACCAGCCATATCACCCCCCCCCCATTAAAACGATTCCTTTTGCGTGAATTATGGATGTTTACCTGACTTTGTCTTTTGGTTTAAGGCGTGCTTGCTTTGGAAGTCCAGGACCTGCAATAAGAAGTTCAATTCTAATTTATATAGGGAACTCTTGCTAGTTGTGTAAAAAATGGAGTTTACTCTTTGAAACGATCATTAGTTCTATTCCTTCCATCCAAGTTGTGCATAGGACTATAGTAATTAGGGACCCCCTAGAAAATTTCACATTAGTTGTAGGAAATCGATAAAATAATAACCATCCATTTATTGATAGCAAATTATAATGGTCCGGATTTAATTTGCAATCTTTGCTAGAGTCCAGGCTGATCGGTGTTAAATTGTCAATCTCTATCCAGCCTCTTCCTCTTTTTATATACACGCCATATTCAAATCATCTCCTCTAATCAACAAATGTACTCGCTCTTTCTTAATAGACGTACAGTTTGACTTCTGTAGCTTTTTATGGATGGAACTGATGTATTACATGCATGCATCATCTACGCATTTTACCGACAGTGTCTTACTGTCCTGGACTCCTATTTTCTCAATGATGTCAACATTGTCCATCAGATATTTCTCTTTCTTAGTTCCTTTCCAAAATAATTGGTGTGGCTGATTGCTATCGAGTGCAAATATTCCCCGAGTTTCCAATAGACAAAAAATTCCAAAACGAATAAAATCCCTTCTTTAAACTATGAAAAAAATCCTTAAATTTCCATAGATGTAGATGTCCATTACGTGTATATTTTGCATTGGATTAAAAGAAATTATTTGCAGGTTACACAAAAAATACTTGTCTCTGGATCTAGCAAACACTAGATAAAAGCGATGTACGCGTTGGTCTTTCAGTGTGACATGCAAAAAAGGGATTTCTAATAACCTCTAAAGTTCGACAGTACACATCAACATGTAAAGTTTTTCTGAAACTTCAAGAACACACCTTTTCTTCTTCTTTTGAACCAATCTAAAAGGAGCCATTCAGGGTTTCCACGCAATATCATGATATATGAATGTCACCGAGTTTTAGATCGTGGATTTGTCAAGCACACAAGATTTTGAATCACGTTCTTAATGAATGAGAAAGATAGTATTTGTTGTGATGAAAATACAATTATCCTTTTTAGAGTAAGGCATGTTAAATAAACTAGGGCTCAGTGAGATTCAATTATTAAATAGACATATGAAGAAACTGGTTAATATTTTCATATTATAGATGCACGTGTTTGATTGTACATTTTAAATTAGATATATTAATTAGAAAAATTGTGTATCACTTGAAGTCTAGTGGAACCTATCTCGGTTTAGGCACTAATGCACAAGTCAATCATTGACGTGGGCGACCATGGGGGCTAGGCAGCAGGATCAACTTGAAAGCTAATAACCTAAAATTAGATCCAATGAGCATTTGGCCTTTATCCTGCCTCAGTACAAACACATGAAGGCGTGTACTACCATCCATTGATGCATGGAGATAAGGTTATGATGGCAACATTGACGCCAATGTTTTCATCTATCAATCGATCTATAATTTCCATTTTCTATTTAGGCTTGATCTCTCATTTATTGTTTTATGTTCATGCCTGTGGCGAAATTGGAGAAATTCATGTGTCGGCCTCACGCGCGTTGTTTTGTTGCAGCCCATTCATGGCGAGGACACATGGTGATGACTCATCAATTCTTAGGGAGTCGAAGGATGCCCACATGCCTACAGATCAGGAATCACACTTAATAAACTATGTTGTACCTAGACCAATGATATATTTCGTAGTTCTAGGACATATATGCGAAATAACAATTTGCTTCATACAAGTACTAGGCTTACAAGTATTTGGCATTCTGTCTTACCAATAAGTAGCTGGTTTTTCTACAATAAGTCCATGTTCATGTGTCTTCTTTGGTCCAATGGGAAACAATGTCATTGATAGACAAAAGTAAATAGGCATTTATATGGAAAATGCACACGAGCTCCTGGGTGCTCCACACCCCTATATGAATATCAAATTCAAAAAATACCAGGAAAATTCAAAAAACCTGGCATCGTGGGATATCAAACCTGGGTGCCCAATATACTCCCGTGTGAACTTTCGTGAAAAAATACCAAGAAATATATCCGTGGCGAAGAAAATACAGTCCGACCTATGATCCACACAAACAGTTTTTTTTGTACATAGGAACTTTTTTTCTTCCTTACCGAGAGTACCACGAATGTCATTTTTTGCGGAACTTCGCATGGGAGTAGATTGGGCACCCATGTTTGATATCCCAAAATCCCAGATTTTTTAAATTTTCCTTGTATTTTTTTTAATTCAATGTTCATGTATTGGGGTGGAGCACCCAGGAGCCAAAAATCCGCGTCCAATTTATACCATCCTTATATATATTTTTTCTACAAGTAATTTATACGAGCCCAAAAACAGTGATTTCCAATAAATCTTTCTCTTTTGGCTCTCTTATGTCTTCTTGCTTCAAATTTCTATATTATGGAATGTTTTGTCAGCGCATATCTAATATACATAAAATCAAGGTTAATGAAAATAAAAGAAAATCAGAAGTGTTAGAAGAAATTCTTTGAATCCTTTTCTGTCCCTTAGATTTCAACTAACCAATCACCCTTTTCGGCCACTTATGTTCTCTTGTTTCAAATTTCTATATTATAGAATGGCTTAATCACAGAAAACAATTATCACAAAGTAAAACAAAATGGTTCTGCTGGGCACATATCTGATATACGTACAAGCAAGGATAATAAAATAAAAAGTAACTCAAAAGTGCTACAATAAATTCTTTGAATCCTTTTATTCCACTTAGAAGTTCTTTCAACTAATAAAAAAATGAGACACGATATATGTGCTTGGGATTACAGTGGATCGATGGGTGTTTCACCTTTTTTCCCTTTCATGCAGCAAAATAAATACGTACAACTTATTGACTATGGTTCACGACTAGAATACAATTTGTTACTCAAATTGCCAACCTAAAGTACTAAACAACATTTCATTTTGTGGACATACGTGAACAACGCTTTCTTTGATTAGCGGTTGGTCAAAACATGCATGAAACGGCTCGTGCCCAATTATAAAATTCTTAGATGTCACGAGTTGTTGCAATGATTTTGACATTTCTGTTCTATAAAGAAGGGCTTTCTGAAATACACATGTTGACAATTCTATAGTAATTCATCGATAAAAAGGATGTTTTTTCATCTTAGATTTCTTTGTGATTTATAAAATCCAAATTATATATTGAGTCCTACAAACCTTTTCTTAATATCTAGTAACTACATATAGAATATTGGTCAGGTGTAAGCATCGATTTAACAGCACTAGATTTTTCATTAAAATTTATGCACAATATAATTCTATTTTTTTTACTAAACTATTCACATGCGAAGTACTGCCCATAGTTTCATGCTGGACATTGTTTCCATGTTTAAGCCGTCATCTATTGCAAGCAGATGGGGCCATTACCAAACTTTTGTCTATTTATCGGCTTATTAGTCTCCAAAAAAATTATAGACTAGTTATAGTGACTGAACTTGAAGTAATAGTTAAGCAGGACAAAACACAGAGATTAACGGAGTTGGCATTTATGATGAGTAGGAAGTTGGTTGTTAATTAGCGGACAAATTGTAGAGGATGACGTTTAGTTATGCCTGTCCTTTCTTGAACTTTCAACAGTACCAACCTTGTTTAGTTCACCGACAATCTCGGCTATGGTAGGCCTTTTCTCACGATCAACCTCGATACACCTTAATGCGATTTCGATGCATGTCTTAACTTGATCAGATGTATGTGACGACATTGTTCCCTGCAGCCGTTTTCCCCAGTTTCCATGGACCTGCAAAGTTGGAACATAATGGCAAAATGTGGCATCAAAAGTAAGGCACACCAAGATTATTATATTTGTCAAAAGAATTTTTTTCATGATAAAAGATATCTTCCATACCTGCTCAAGAAATTCTTGCGAAGATATATATGCGTGCTTGGAGTAGCCCTCATCTCCTGCCATTATTCGTATGATTGTAACACCCAGACTGAATATATCATACTTCGATGTGATTTCGTATCTCTCAATGTATTCCGGTGGCATGTATCCACTGCATGGTATTTATGGAATAAAATTATTCTATAACCAGAAACTCATAAGTTGATTATTTATAATGTGGTATCCACTTACGGTGTTCCTATAATTTTGACTGTGATATAGGTTTGTGATGAAGGGAAGAGTCTTGACAAACCAAAATCTCCAATTTTCGGGGCCATGTTCTTGTCCAGCAATATATTTCCAGGTTTCAAGTCAAGATGGTAAATAGGGTCTTTCGACCCATTATGAAGGTAATTCAAACCCAGACAAATTCCCCTAATAATTTTGAAACGTGTGTGCCAATCGATTCCGCATGATTCATCTGCAAAAGTAAACACGAAGTGCATAACCAAGATGTGGATTAAGGGATATCCGAAGTACATATTTTATGGATCATTTCTCTTTACATACAAAATAAAATAGTCTAAGTGGAGCAGCATCATACCAGATATATGCTTGTCAAGGCTTCCACCCTGCAAATATTCGAAGCAGAGAACTCTTTCTTCCACAAGCGCAAAAATATATTCACCTTTGTACTTAATGCGTTGATGTCCTTGGTGATAGCAGTAGCCAACCAACCGGGTAATATTTGGGTGTTGGGCCCTCATAAGGTTATTAAATTCATTCCTAAATTGTGTGTCATCAAGCCCAGGCATGTAACGGAGCTTTTTTAGAGCAAGCTCTTCCCCGTTTTCCAGTACCCCCTGTTACAAAAATACATGAGCCCTTACAGCTTTGTACGGTAGTATCATTTGAAGTTACAAGGTCTAAGTAATAAGCATAAGAGTATACCTTGTAAACTACTCCATACCCACCCCGCCCAATGACATGTTCCTCAGAAAAATTATCTGTAATTTGTTGCAAGAACTCGAGTGTAAACTCCCTTGTCGTTGCACTTGTCTGTTCAAACTTGTTCGCCAATGCCATGGTATCTTATATCTGCCAGTGCTAGGATTAGCTGGCTCTATCTCTCTAATAATACAGATAATATTTCACATGGTTCACAGAGAGCCTAACTTGGAGTACAAAACAAGAAAAGAAAAGAAAAGAATGCAATATATTTATGGTTTCAAAATTTTAGACCTTCGCCTCGCGCCCTGACACCTGCCATGGGATAACGAGAGTGCCAAGAACAAGCAGCAAATGCTGAAGGGATTCTGTGCGCGACAATGTTGGCTCGCACCTTCCTATTTCCTGGCTACCCGATCATCGCTACTTTCCTGGCTACCCGATCATCGCTACCCAGGAGCCCGCGGCTGGCTACTGCCTACAGGTAATGGTTTGTCGAGGCAGTACGGGTGAGGCGTGAGAAAGTTTTGTGCGCGGGTCAGGGGAAGCAGACGGTGCGAGCTCCTGGATTACAGAAGTGCCGCCGTTTAGAGTTGGATTTGTGTTCGGGGATTCAAGGAGCACCCACTGGCCACTGTAACATGGCTGGGGCATTAATGTCATTTTCTCTGCACGCGCTCGCAAACTAGTTCACAATTAAATGACAGATTCAACATAAAACAGCTGTAGACTTTGACTGTATATAAGTCACTGATTGTCGATACACGATAGTGAAAATTAGTGGTCAAATTAGTGGCTAAATCTTGAAGAGAAGGGTCAATTCCATACAAACCATTGGCAACTTTCCCTTAACCGAAAAGTACAGATGAAAAATAAAACAAACAACGACACTAATAACTTGTGAAGCCCGTAAGGCAAAAGGTGTTGATATGATCTGTATGGGATGAACCTGTATGCTAGGGGAGGAAACCAGGAATTAAGGATATGGAGCGGATCTGGCCGGCGTGTGGAGCGACCGGCCAGCGGCTTTGCTCTATCTTCTTTCCTCGTGAGCAGCTCCACCTCGCATAAACCTGCAACTGCGAGAGATGGAAGACTTGCTGAATGCTTGCCAAAGGCAGAGGGCATGGAATGGAGCAGATCCAGACCGGAGAGCTTGAAGACCGGGAAGGGTAGTATGAGTCTCACATGGACAGCCTGGTTCTCCCGATGTTAATTAACAGCACACTGACCCGTGTGGGTATGAGTTTCACATGGACAGCCTGGTTCTCCCGATGTTAATTAACAGCACACTGACCCGTGTGGGTATGAGTTTCACATGGACAGCCTGGTTCTCCCGATGTTAATTAACAGCACACTGACCCACGTCGGTAACCGTGTACATATTTATTTACTAAATACGCACTCCCTCCGTCCGAAAAAGGTTGTCCCTCAAATGGATGTATCTAGCACCAAGTTAGTGCTAGATACATGCATTTAAGAGATAAGCTTGGGACAAGCTTTTTCGGATGGAGTGAGTAGTACTTAACTAAACAAATAATAGTGCTGATCATCGAGATTTACAACCTTTTGTCATAGAGGTCTTGCCGAGTCTATTAAAGGGACTTTGGCTTACACGAATCTTTTGGAATTTTAAATGAGAGAAAATATGTAGAAAAATTTCCTTTCGTTTGTAGGAATATACAAGATTGGAAGCAATCCTTTGTGTTTTAAAGGAACAAGAAACTTTGGCCTAGACCTAATGAAAAAATCTATCATGTAAACCAAATAACACCTTTTTTTCCTATAGCATTTGAGATACAATTTTTGATAAATAGCGGATTTTATTGACTTATAATGTTACATCAAAAGAATACAATCACTATGAGCACACGCCCGGCCTCTGCACGACTAGGATGTACACAGCCAACACCAACGCACACACATAAAGAAACTAAAACACAACACTTAAAAGTCCTGTCGAAGCGAACTTAAACATACAACAACGCCATCAACATTAACCACCACCGATGACAACACCCAAACTGTGAGAATACTGCTTCCTCTGCCTTTGAGATACATATCATCTCACTTTCTATAAATTTCTATTCCCGTGCTATTCCTATCCGATGAACTAAGGTAATCAAAATGTGCTCCCTCTGACTTGCACTACTATCTTCTCATGACACTAGTAAGTTGATGTCTTTGGCTCCTCATCTAGATCCCCACTATTATTTGCACACACACAAAAAAAAAATCTACATCCCACTACTTCATGAGAGCCATCGGACCAGCCTCATCAGCTAGCTTAGGCATCCTCCACTTGCACTCCCCGCTAGCTTAGGCCTCCACCCTCTGCGCCATCCCACACTACTACTAAGTTCATATGCCATACTGTCTATTTTTTTCCATTGGTTTTTTTTAGGAAAGTGTACACGACATATTTATTGTCCACTAAGCTCTATGCTTTTCTTATATTGAGTTAAAAGAGACAATTATAATCATATGTCATATAATTTTCTTATTATATTTTTCACACTGGGTTTTGAAGAAGTTTTCAATGGCATATCAGATCACACTTTTCCCCCCTATAAGTATTTTCTTGAAGTTTCTCATAAAGGGTTTTAAACGAGACGATATATGCAATACTTTCTTTTTTTCATTGGGGTTTTTAAAGGAAGGTATACAAATCATATTTGGTCTCCACACTCACCAACGACAAGTTTCTCGTTCTTCCATGTTTTTTCTCATATGAGTTACCAAGGAGACAATAATCATTATGTGTTGCATCATTTCCTCCTTATATGTTTCCACTTGATTTAAATGTGTTTAGCAACATATTTGCACTATTTTTCTCACATTTTTTCCACAGGGTTTTTGAAGGAGTCTTTCTTAACATAAGATGATGAACATTCTCAAGACAAACATACAAAAAGGAAAGTCTTTACCAAGATGATACATATTAAAAAAGACAAGTATTGATAAGGAGGAGTTGGGAATTAACTAATTGAAATAACCAGGGGATAATCGTTCCTTTGTCTGAACAATCATTAGGAAACAATAGTGTTGTTTCACCTGTGAGGCCTCCTTCGGTTTACAGGAATTTTTAGGAATTTTAAAGGATAAGAATTTTACCCTTCCACCAATCCGTATTACTTGTCACAACTTTAGTACAACTTTGGTATGAAGTTGTACTAAAGCTGGGACGAGTAATATGGAATGAAGGGAGTGGTAAAAATTCCTTCGGGGAGCCTTTGGTTAGTAGGAATGAATTTCTATTCCAATGTAGGATAGGAACAATTTTTTTCTCATTTCAAAGGAAAAGAAAACATTAGCCTGAACCTAATGAAAAAAAACCTATCCTATGGATCAAATCACACTTTTTCCCCATACAAATTAAGATACATATATCATCTCACTTCCTATAGTTTTTCTATTCACATAATATTTCTATCTTATAAACCAAAGAAATTCTGAGTCTTTATAAGGGCGTTCATGCGCACGTGCCTCTTGGGCATACATAAATAGTTCATCATCATCAATAAAGAATCTGATTCATTCTCTACAATTCAATCACTCAATCGGTTTTTTCTTTGCAACAAATGCCAAACCGAATAGTATGACCCCTATTATACGTAGGAGGAGTGTCAGAATGACACTCACAGCTACTCCAAATACGAAACAGAAGGCTGAGGATGTGACTATTCCTGCTACTGCCAATACACCTACTATGACTGCCATTGCTAGTGCTAATGCTACTGCTAGTTTAGCTGGCACTAATAATACGCCTACTATGACTGCGAGTGCTAGTGCTAATGATACTGCTAGTCTGCCTGCTACTGCTAATACGCGTACTAATGCTACTGCTAGTTTAGTTAGATGGCGCCACCAGGATAGCGAACGCCGATGTAAAGGATGTCCTTGTTGGGTTTGTGGATCCACAGAGGAGGACACGTCAACGGTGAGATGTACCTCGTCTCGCTTGGAGCAGCCGTCGAATGGTAAGCGGGGCGTTCTGCTTCGGCACTCTAGTATATATCCAGTAATGAAAGAAGAAAGATGGCACATGTTGTCAGCAAACTCCAAATTCATAATTATTTCAAAAAAAACTCCAAATTCATAAAGGTATTATTAGAAGGAAAAAAGTGGAGGAGCGTTTACCTAATTTTATTCCAAAAAAAAATCCTTTGCCTAATTTGATACTTTCTTTTTGAGGGTGCCTAATTTGATACTATGATTTATTTAACATTGATTTCGTTGGCTGCCTGGTACATAACGGCATCTCCAACGACCCGCAAAACGGACACCACATTTGTCCGCGGACAGCGGAAGCTTTCTGCGCACACGTTTGCGGGAGCCGGCCGTTCAACCGTGCCCGCGTACATTTTAAACACTCTTTAAACAAACCAGACAAATTATATGCAAACCGGATGATTTTCATACAAACCGGATAAATACATTCACATTTCGGGCATATTTTAACTAAAACTAGTCTACGGCCGACCGCGGCGGATTGTCACTCCAACGACATGTCTTCCCCTTGTCCGGCAGCCCGATGAGTAGGCTGCCGGATGCCCAGAAGGGATATGCTCCAGCGGGAGGGGGCGAATAACCTCCGCATGCTCCAGCGGGAGGGGACGAATAACCTCCGCTTCCCCTGTATCTTCCCTATGTCCGGTTGTGCTGCTTACCGGAGTGGACTCCGCTTCCGTGAAGCACCGATGAGGGTTGGTTTTTGGGTCGGGAGACGACGTTGGCCTTCATAGGACCCAACAGGCGGCGGCCTCCCATGGTTTACTTTTCCTTGCTATCGGCAGCGGCCGTGGACGTGCTGGCCGTCTCACTGATCTCCGCGGAGACGGCCTCCTTCTCCGTCGGCAGGACGCAGTTCTGCGAACGTTGACGGTTGATGGCGGGGGAGGAGCGGTATGACACGGCCTCGTCCACAGCAACCACGCTGCCTGCGCCGAGGTGCTCCCCTGCGTGCCGGCCTGGAGCAACTTGCCACTCCTCCGCGAGCTAGCTTGCAGCGGCAAGTAGCTAAACCACATGCTAGCTTGGAGCAGACACTTGCTCCTCCGCGCGCCAGCCTGCAGCCTCACCCAAGGTACTGACGGCCTAGAGCGGGGAGGGAGGTGGAGCAGCGAGTTGCCTGACTC